AACATTTTTGACCTTTGCCAAGGGACACAAAGTGCAGATTGTACTCCAGCTATATTTAAAGTACTCACATGATCGTCAGAAGCACTAAGCAAATGCCCACTCAGGTTTGGGTTCCATGACAGCCCATAACCTTCCTTCTGGTGTCCACGAAGACGCAGATCAGGGTTACACTCTCCAGAAGGGTCTGTAAAGAGGCGGTGGCATAAGAACTCCAGTGCCTAGCATCATTTCCAGCACATCCTAGAATACCTGGCATTAAGTTTTACTGTGCTTTACTAAACTTTGCTTAGACATTTTCAACAGGATCCCTCTCTATCCTTTTGAGCATTTTCCCCAACTGAAGACTCACCTCATTAAAACAGAATGCACTGAGACAACACAGAGCAGTTTGTCTCCTTAGCTTAATAAAAGCACATTGCAGATTTTCCAAGCTGCTTTTTTTTTTTTTTCCTGGCTGGCTGGCCTAGCAGTGGTTCACTCTAAATTAGTGCTACAGTACTGCGGTGTTTTTCTTTCTCTCATCACCTCCAACTGCACTTTGAAAGTGCGAAAGGCACTTCTGATCCCCCCCGCAAGTGGCAGAACTAGTTACTCTATACGATCTTGACGAGTTCATCGGTAAATGACTGTTAATATCCTTAACAGGGTTATCAGGACAACAGCTCAGCAAATCATAGTTTCCAAAAAGCCACCTTCCACCACCCCAAATACCAACACATACAGTGACATGACAAAACATGCAGTAAAACAGCAAAAGGAAAAAAAGCATACCTTTCTATTGATACCTATTGGATACATAAGTTTAAGCTTAATATAAAATAACCTTTTACGCTAAATACTTACTTTCCCCTGAAATCACAAATGATATGCAATCCACAAAACTTTTTAACCTCTTTTTCATTACATCAATGTTTTCTTAAGGAAGGGCTGGCTGATCTCTGAAGCACAGACATAACAAAGAAACAGACACCTGGTTTAGAAGGGTGCTTGGTGTAATCAAAGACAAGGACATCACTGGATGGAGTCTTCGTAGCGATGATACACGGGTTCTGTGGCATGTAACGTGCTCTGTTCACTTCTCCCTCGTGATTTATCTTGATTTCAATTTCAATTTTTCCACTAACTGACCCAAAGCCTCCAAACTCTGGAAATAAGAATTTAGTAGTTTTAAGTAATAAGCCAGTTTCAGATCAAGACACGAAGATCCAGACCCAATTACTGGTACTACCAAGCACTTATTTTGAAAGACAGTCACAAGAACAACTGTAAGGGAAAGAATCCAGTTTTCAAATGGCATGTTGTTTTAAACATCTGTATGTGAAAGATCAAAATATCAGGACTTTGGTTAAGTTAAGGCCATTTCTTCCCAAAAATTTTTTACTATTTCAAATTTATCAACACATGCCCCAAATTTATCATATCTAAAACTCTTATCTGTAATGAAGGTGCGATGCACATTTGAAACAGGTGTGCTGTAACTGCACTTTCAAATATAACAATAATCAGCATTGCAGAATAGAAGAAGTTCTGGTAGAAACAAATTGCTGCACCGCGTTTAAGATATGGGACTGTAATGTAATTTGCTAAAACTACCTTATCTTTATAAGTAAAGTCACAATAACTTAGTATTTCACAAAATTGCACAGCACCGTTCTGGCAAAAAGAGGGGGTTTTTTTTGTTTGTTTTGTTTTTAAATCGGAGTGGTATACTTTTGAGAAATACTAAAATAGAATAAAACAAAGTATTTATTAGACAACATGGTGTTCATGAATAACTCTAAGAAGCCCGAAGATCAAAATACTAATTGCACAATCCAGGCTTCCGGCAAAAAGAAGAGCAAACATTGGATCATTGAGGACTTTCACCAGGTAGAAAGATTGATTCAACCAAGTAAAAATGAGAAATGTCTAACTTGTAGCAATGCTGACAGCCAGCTAAGATTACAGAAAGCATCAAATTCAAGTCTGATATACCGAACAAAACACAATTAATCTTTTTGTCCAAGAGGGGCTGGCACAACTGTCAGGCAGCAGAATTCAGACAAGAGAAGAACATTTGAAACGTTACGCTCCTTTGAAATAAGATATTCTTTTACATGAGTGACTTTCTCACTGGAAGAGTTTATGTAATGCAAAAGCGATAATAAAAATACCACTAAGCAGTATTCCATGAAATTCAATGTCAATTCCTGATGAGAAACAGGGAGGGGTGAGGTTTTCCCCCCACACACGTACTTTTGCAGTAAGCCTGCCACCTTCTTTTTTCATCATTATATTCTTAAGACATTACATACATTAAAAAACCATAGTATTTGTCTATTAAGTAAGGGTACCGATTATATTCCTGAGACATTACATACATTAAAAAAATATAGTATTTGTCTATTAAGTAAGGGTACCACTTAGAAATAAATTGATTAGTTTAGAAGTAATTCCTGAACTTTGCTGCCCGAACTTTAAGGAAAGACAAATATTCTATCGAGAAGGGAAGGAAAAAATGGTTAAAACTCCCCCTGGTCCACATCTTTGGTCCCTTACCTCCTTTCTCACTATCATAGTGTGAAGCATCAAACTGCGCATCATCGTTAGGCAACTGCACACTAGCTATCACAAGATGATTTTGTTCATCTGAAGTATGGGTCCCCAGGACTAACCGGTGAATACTGAAATCTTTGCCTTCAGGTCTGCAAGGGAAGAGAGTTACACGAGAAACAAAAGGGGTTTACACAAATACCGATCTGATGGCAACATTTTTTGATGACAGCTTCTAACACTAATAACACTCTTTCAAAGTTATCGTTGCTCTCCTGCTCCAACACCAAACTCACTTCCTCCAGAGGAAATCACTTATCATAACTCAAGATCTCAACCTAAAAGTCTCTCAGCACAACACTGACACACCACCGTTCCCGTGCCTTCCTTTAAGAGACCTTAGCGGCTCCTCCCGAGTACAACTCTGAGGCGCATGAACATTCACAGCAAGTTGTTATGGAAGCTTAGGACAAAATGGTGGTTATACAGAAATTACATCTAGTTCTATTTTTGAGTAGGTTTTTGCTTGCTAAAGGGGAAGGTGAAGCTGGAAGAAGAAAAACATGGAAATCAAATGTGTGAAAATATCTTCTCAGTAATAGAAGACGTTTTCCCAATTTAAAAATGCCTGTACTGATTATCTTCTCTGGTGTCCATAGTCCTCAACTTGCTGTTGGCAAGGCAAGGGTATGAAAAGCGCTTAAGACAGAAAGGAGTCACATACTGTCTTACTTTAACAAAAAGTGATCCTAGATTTACTACTTATTCCGCTTTAAAAGAAAAAAGCAAAAGGATCAGTTTACCTTGTTACATCAGGAAGCCACTGTGCAGTCAAGCTGGGCCATTCCAGAGCATGGGTCATTACCAAATCATACAAGAAGGGGGTGTTCTTTTTCCATATTTTATACTCTTCATTGATCACACGTTCTTCCACTGCATCATCAAAGGCTGCTAAAGTGGTTTTTTTTAAAAACGCATACAATTAGCCTTTACGAATATATTTACAACATACGCACAACACTGTGAGGGGGCAACTGAATAAAGAGACAACTACATCACACCCTGGTTTGCTGTTACGACTACTCTGTTGGAGTAGTTGCTAGATGATTACAAATCCTCCGTTGCACATGCTAATCCTTGTTTCTGGATATAAGGCTCGGAATTAATATTAACTATGTCAAATTTCACGATCTCAACAGAAGCAGCGTAATAAAATTCTGAAACTTGGTGCCACAGCATGCTGTGGAGGCAAAAAACAGAACTGTAAAGGCGTTTAAATGCAGGAGGTCCAGCAACCGATGTTAAATAGACCGGTCTAGGTGCAGCCTGGAACTACCAGTTCCCAAAATCCAGTTTTCCGAGGCTCCTTCCGTTGCCTTGTTCCTCTCACGCGCTTTCTCGTACCATCTGCCACCAGCCTCCGCTAGAGAAAGCGAACGAGCGCGGCGAGACCTCCGGGAGCACACCCCCGGAACGGGGCTGCGCGGCCGGTGACATCCCTTTGTCTGCGCGCTAGGCAGGCGGCTGCCCGCCCCCCTCACGGGGCACGGCATCTCTGCGGCCCTCCCCGCTCCCACCAGCCCACCCGGCTACCGGCGCACCGGCCTCTACTCGGAAGATACAAACTCTCTCCCTGCGGGCGCGGATACAAACGGATCGGAAGGCGAAGGGGGGG